GGATGGCACTTTTTTTTTTCCATTTATTTTTATTAGTTGGAGACTAATTACTTTACAATATTGTAGTGGTTTTTGTCATACATTGACATGAATCAGCCATGGATTTACATGTATTCCCNGGTCATATGACAGTTCTAATTCCAGTTTTTTAAGAAATCGCCACACTGTTCTCCATAGCGGCTGTACTAGTTTGCATTCCCACCAACAGTGTAAGAGGATTCCCTTTTCTCCACACCCCCTCCAGAATTTATTGCTTGTAGACTTTTGGGTAGTAGCCATCCTGACTGGTGTGTAATGGTACCTCATTGTGGTTTTGATTTGCATTTCTTGTTTTTTTTTTTTTTTGATAGTAGTTTAAATCAAGTACCTCTTAGTTTAAACTATACGGCAAACCTGTTAGAGAGAGGATATTCTGGTGAATTTGAAATAGAGAATCTGATTGTATGGGTTGTATGAAAATATGAAATTTAATTACCGTGAAGTGCAAAAGAAAAATAAAAATATACACAGAACATTTCATGTGGTTAAATTTCTTAACACATTAAAGATGTGTTCAGTTTGTATTTAGTTTCAGTAAAACTGCAAGGATATCAAAATTTGTGGGCCTTTTTATTTCCTTGTAAAAACAATACTATTGGTGGTTGCATTCAAAGCACATTAAGTATTTCACTAAAAACGGAGCCTAGAGAAGTTTAAAAAAGTTATGATTGTGTTTTTAGTTACCTGGGAGTGGACCTTGAAAACAGTACTATGTAAGGCATTCGCATGAGCAGGGCTTAAAATATTATCCTCTCTTTTTGTCAAAACATCATTCAAGTGCACTAGATGGAAATTTAATTTTGTAAGATGTCTGTACTGTTCAAATTTGTTTATGGTGTGAGCTTTCAATTTAGACAATTTATCATTACTTGGAGAGGAACTTTTTCTCTTAAGCCAGATTGAGTTTCCTTTCCAGGGAATAGATGAATCCAGGAAAAATGTTTCCACAGCTCATACCTAGCCAAAAGCCATGGCCATGGAGGAATGGAGAGCTCATTGAATAATGACAAAAGGAAAATATGTAATCCCCTTTCCCGTAGCCTCTCGTGCCCTTGACTTGTCTCAAAACTCTCCAGTCCATAGATTCAAGCAGTGTCTATTTTGATTCTCAAATTTAGGGGTTGAACTTCTGCTTCACAATAACATTAAGCAGGCAATTACAAATATGATATACCTACAGAGGTCTGACTCTAGTTTGTCTGACAATCGTATAATCTTTGGAAGGTCTCTTTATAACCTTTGGAAGGTCTCTTAACTGTCGTGAGCATTGATTTCTTATTCTCTCATCTGTTTGACATATCCTCAAAGATTCCTTTTGGTTTTAATGGATTAAGATTCTAAAGGCCAATTTTGCATGACTGCAGTTTCACCCCAATGCTACATTTAAACACTTGGGTTTCCATGCTGTCTCCATGTATTTTTGAAGTCATCTTTTCTGTGTCTGCAAGTTTTCTGCAGTAACATAATTACATGCATAAGAGAGGCTAAGTCCTAAATTTGTCTCCTCTTCTGGTTATTTTTTGATCTCATAATTTAGGAGATGATACTCCTTCCATCTCAAGGGCTGATAGATTCTCCACCAGTGCTACAGAAATAAGTTGGAAGTCATTTCCTTGTAAAATATCTCTCTTTTCTGTATGTATTTACATATTTGTACTGTATATCCTGGCTTCCCAGGTAGCACTAGTGGTAAAGAACCCTCCTGCCAATGCCAGAGACCTACGAGAGATGTAAGGTTTGATCCCAGGGTTGGAAAGATTCCCTGGAGAATGGAATGGCAACCCATTCCAGTATTCTTGCCTGGAGAATCCCATGGACAGAGGACCCTGGAGGGCTATGGTCCATAGGGTCGCAAAGATTCAGACAGCACTGAAGCAACTTTGCATGCATGATCTTACTGTTATAACAGAGGAAGTCAGCGAGGACAAGAGAAAACAATATATGGCAATAATTTACCCTGACACCATTCACCTTAGCAAACTCAGCATCCATCCAGCCCTCCAGCTTCTAACCCAAGAGGATTGCAGTGAGCCTGAGAGGCAGGGAATTTTGTCCAAAAGAAGTCTCTGAAACCATGATAAGCTGTTCTGAACAAGAGCTATGTACTCATTACATGAGAAATTTGGACTGGCCTGCAAGCAATATTCTTGTCTCCCTCAAAAATGTAGGGAGTAAAGGTTTATATAGGTGAGTTGAAATTTCACATAGTTTCTAAGAAGTCTGGAAAGCATCTGAAAGTCCCAATTTTTCTTGAATTTCTGGATTAGGGCATTATTCTTTCTGTGACTCACTTTTGAAGGCTCTAATAATGAAACATTTCTCCTGATTATCTCTAGGTCATAGGAATCCCCTGTAAGTTGGGTAGAGGTGACCTGTAGAATTACAAGATCTGAGTTTAGTGTTAAGAAGACAAGATTGCTTATGTCCACCATGTATATTGAGCTAAGTGCTCTTAGGCAAATGGCAGTATTCTTGATGGTCTCAGTGATGTTGAAGAGTATGGGTAAGATAAATTTTGAGGACTATTTTAGTTCTAAATTTCTACAGTTCTCAGAGTAAATTGCCACATGCTTGTAGATATTTTGGATTAGACCCAAACAACAGGGCAAGTAAATGTTAAAGGTTAGTGCTACTTAGCTGGGCTTTGATATTATCCAGAATTGTAGAAGCTTTCATTTATCTACTTTGATTCCAAGAACTGCTGAAGAGAAAAGTAGCCCAGAGTGAATGTAAGGCTTGCTGTTGCTGTAGTTAACTTAAATTTAATAACTTTGAGGTGTTCTTTTTAGCCATCATTGTAGAACAACAATGTAAAGTATATGACTTTTATATTTACTCCTTTTAAATTCTATCATTTAAAAATTATCCTTATTATCTTTAGTAAAATCCTACCAAGTTTCCCTAATCCAGTGACAATCAGTGACACAAGATTTTTACTGTATATACAATGCTATGTTAGTCACTCTGGAAGGAAAAAAACACCTATGGCAAAGCACTTGCCTGTAAGTTCTAGGAGAAGAGAAAAACCATTAAGAACAAACATATGAATAGGAGTGAAAGAATCAAAAACCCCAGGACATTCTGCAGGAGGATGGATTTAACCAAAAAGGGAAAATGCATGCTTTGGTTTTCTAATAAAATAATTTTGTGAGCACTTTGTTCAATTAAAGATTATTATACTTAGAAGCAGGTTGAAATCTTTTTCTTCCCAGCATGCAAAGCCTTCTTTAAAGATAAAGGTTGTCGTGGTATTTTTAATTATTGAGGTTGGGTACTTATTTCCTTCTTACATTCATGTGCTTCCAAAGGGATTTGGAACATGAAAGAGTTTCATAGCTGTTTAGAGAAATGAGAATTTAGTCCTTTATATTTATGGACATTACTTTCCAGTTCTATCTAAGTTCAGACTCTATTCTCTGTAGTATTGAACCTTCCAAGTTGTGTTACACCAATATAATGTATGATCTGTGTGCCTGGAACATCCAAACTCTGGTGAGTTTCTAGAATACATTAAGGCAAATTAGTTTCAGCTAGCTTTGTCCTGAGTGATTTTTTTTTTCTATGTGGTTTGTGAATTATCAAATAAACATATCATTTAGGAAATACAATTTTATAACGTACTTCTTATTCCCAGTAATTGTAGCTCAAACATGATATAGCAATAATGCAATTTGGCTATCATGGGTTGACTGCCTGAAGCAGTGTCTGGGCGTGTTATTCACGAGCTTAAGATGACCAGAAAATGATAATTTTGGGGGTAATTTTGATGGATCCTTGCTCACCTATCAAAATCTTATACTATAACCATGTATGTTTGAGTAGTGTTTAGTGAAGGTAAATATTTCTGTCTTGTCATGTATAATTTTTTTTTAAGTAATGCCGATCTATCATAAGGGCTTTCTAGGTGGCTCAGTGGTAAAGAATTCGGTGGGCAATGCAGGAGACATGAGACAATGGGCTTGATCCCTGGGTCAGGAAGATCCCTTAAAAAAGGAAATGGCAACCCACTCCAGCATTCTTGCCTGGAAAATTCCATAGACAGAGGAGTGTGGTGTGCTATAGCCCACGAGGTCACAAAGATTCGAACACAACTAATGACTGAGCAAGCAAGCAAAGCACATCTATAATAAAGTACTAATTTATAATAAAGTATTGGCAGTTTTATTTCTGATTAAGGTTAGACCATTTCCCTCTATTTTTGAAAAAAATGTTAATGGCTAATGCTTATATAGTACCCACTATTTGCCAGACACTACGTGTTTTATAGGTGTTGGTCCATTTCATGTCCAAAACAACAACATGTATGTAGTAGGCATTGTGATGATCACAGTCCCATTTTACAGGTGAAGAAAATAAGGCAGAGTGATTCAGTAAATTGCCCCAGATCATAAAGGCACCAGTTCTGAATTTGCACTCAGGCACCCTGACTCCTGACTCTTATTATCATGCTGTACTTCCTCTCTTCAAGTCAGCCTGCACCTCAGCAGCCCTTAATTTCGAGGCCTGGAGCCACAGTATGGGACTTGAGCAACTGTAGCCAAATCCTGTTTTTCACTTAATCACTCAACAATAAATGAGTGAGATGGGAAGAACTAGCTTGCAGCCAGCTCTGGCTCCATAATTCATAGAACTCAGTCCAAAATGAAATTGTGGGGCCTCTTGTTCAAAAAGTAGGAAAAAAAATAGGATTAATGACACTAAAATATAAAGCCTTTCCCTTCTTTCATGGTTTCCCTCTTGTCATGGAATTTTTCATCTGCTGTTGAATGTTGTTCTAAGTAAAGAAAATTAAAAATTGAAATTATTAGCATGAATTTGCCATTCATCTTTGTGTTGTGCAATGTCTATTTCAGGGCAAATAGAAAAGCATTTAACTTTTATGTGGAATCACCAAAATCATACAGTGATTTTTTGTAACGTACCTGAATATCTTTTTTTTTTTCTTTCTTACCAGAACAGTGGAAACTCTGCATGAAACTAATTCAACTGTTTTTATTTCACTACTTGACATGCACATTTCACCAACACTTTCTCCTTCTGGCTTACTGAAGAATAGGAAGGACTGAAGGGAATGTGAGTTGTCCTGTTCTTTTTCCATTGCTTCTGTGTTATAATTTTCAATGTAAAATAGTTCATCAATAGGAAGGAAGTAGGTTGCTCGGTCGTGTCTGACTGCAACCCCATCAGGCTCCTCTATCCATGGAATTCTCTAGGCAAGAATACTGAAGTGGTAACCTAGCCCTTGTCCAGAGGATCTTCCCAACCCAGGAATGGAACTGGGTTCTCTGGCATTGCAGGTGGACTCTTTTCCAGCTGAGCTACCAGGGAAGCCCAAGTTCATTAATAACTGGAACTAATATGAGTAGGAAAGGATATGATAAAATTCCTCAGTTGTTCATGTTTCTTATAACACCATTGCTTTTCTTTCTTTTATAAGCAATTCTGTTTCAGACAGGAAGCGTATCCTCTTTGGGTTCAATTGTAGAAGCAACACACTGTTTACTTGATTAGCATCTCTCTCAACCTTCACTTATGGTGGGTCCCCTGGAATCCAGTGCCCATGGACACACAAACACTGTGTTTTAATTGGGAGGTAAGGAACAGTGCAAACTGACATGCATTTTGCTTGTATCTCCTCTGCTCATGTGTGTGTTCCCTTGTTCCATGGGACTTTGCTTAAAAAACACAAGTGCAAAAATGAGATTTTGGAGTATGTCATGATGGCAATAGCAGAGGTTTTTGAGGGCAAGGCTCTGCATAGGTTGTATGCCTGAAGTAAGCCTAGCTTTGGGCCGTTAGATGAGATGGAAGCTGAGTTGAACTAAAACCACTATTTCAAGTTAACCCCAAACATCATGCTAAAGATTGGGATAGATGTATGTTCACTGTCACAGGTAAAATAGATGGCTAGTGTGAATCTGCTGTACAACATAGGGGACTCAGCTCAGTGCTGTGTGGTGACCTAGACAGGTAGGATGTGGGAGAGAGGGGATATATGTATACATGTAGCTGATTCACTTCACGGTACAGCAGAAACTAAACCCAATGCTGTTAAAGCAGCTATACCCCAATAAATAAATCATAATGAATAATAATAATATATTTTTTTAAATGTAAGAGATTGGCCTGGGACTGTTAAGTGTAGTCACAAGTGATCAAACAGGCCACCGTGCCTACAAAGGCAGTGGAGTTGGCTGACCACTGCTCTATTGACATGAAGCCCTGCTGAGTGATGATAAAGATGGCCTACCATTAACAAATGCTAAGTGTAAAAACTGGAGAGCCTGGGTGGTTTCAGCATAGTTAAAGGGCAGATATAATCAAATGGTAGGGAGGAGAATTAATTAGGAGGGTTGCTGAGATGTTTGGACCCTCGGCTAAGGCAGATCTGCCCTGCGAAGGTCAGAGTCCTAGAAGGAAAAACTAGGAATTCTGAGAAGTGGGACAGGGCTCTCTGGGTGTCCCTGAGGATTTTGACTCTACAGCCCCTCTGAAGCTTCCAGATGTGCAGAGGTGGCCACCTTGCCCTTCTATACAAAGAGCTGGCACTGCAGCTATGCTGGAAGATGCTGCAGACTCTACCCACAGGTCAATTGGTACCCTGGTCAGATTCAGCCCTCATTCATCTCTTCTGGCTGCCAAGCCAATAACTACAGATTGGATTTTTAAGACTGCTTGGTCAACAGACCAAAATGTAAGCCTGAATAAGCAAGAATGTATTAACCTGAGGGCACTTTCTTGGGAAATAAGGATTAACACCCTAGCAAAGACTCTAGTCATGGGGCACATATGCTGCTGGGTGGCTTTTGGAAACCTAGAAAAACAACTGCCAACTCTCAGTAGGTTAGGAATGCCTAGGTTGACCTGGCTGGTGGTGGATGAAGGGAAAAATTATGCTTGAGAGAAGTGGGCATGTTGGAGTGGCTATATTAAGGAAAACCCACAAAAACCATCATGAGACTATATCCCATGAGAGGGCCGAGAGAGGACCGATCATATGTTAAAACCACCAGGAATGTACTGGAGAGAGATGCAGGCCAGCAATGATGACCGTTATCAGGCTCCATTTCAAGGTAGTTGCAAAAGAATATAGTTGGTTGGTCACCTGGGTTCTAGTCCTCATTCTAAAATAACTGGGTGATGCAGGATAGTTGTAAAACTCTCTAGGCAAAGCATTCAGAAAGTTTCATTTTGGAAAAGAGAAGTATGGTTTCCTCAGATCCATATAAGTCTATGCCTTCCTGCTCTTGGCTCTTAACACTTCTCTTTGGCTGTGTTGAGTCTTTGTTGAGGTGTGCGGACCTTCTCTACCTGCAGTGCTCAGGCTTCTTTTTTGTGGTGGCTTCCCTTGTTGTGGAGCACAGGCTCTAGAGGGTGAGGCTCAGTAGTCATGGGCTTAGATGCCCCTAGGCATGTCCCCAACCAGGGATCGAATGTGTCCCCTGCGTTACTGGCAGATTCTTAACCACTGGACCACCAAGGAAGTTCCAGAGTTTTATTTTTAAATTGAATTATTTTTCCCTAATGTCTGAAGAGGTAGATAATATCATTTAAGTTTTAGGGATTAGGAAACAAGAGTTGAGAGTCTAGATGATTTAGCATGTTTTAAAGTTGACAAGAGAGAGATAGTTACTTACTATTGCAAATCATGAAGCAAAGTGGTCTATGTTTGAATCAAGGCTCTGTAGCTCACTAACCCTGTGATGTTGGGCAGTGACCTAAATTTTAAACTTAGTTACTTTAACTGCAAAATGAGGTTAAGGCTAAAATTTGAATTATAGATTATTTGGAATGTTACCTGTGATAATCCAGGTAAAATGCATGTAGCATATATTTAATAAGTGTTAACTCAAAATGCATTTCCTTTACTGTTGCTGTTGGGCTTGCCACTTGCATCTGCCTGCCTGATCTTTCAAGCTCCGTTTTTATTTTGGAATTCCAAGTACAGGAAGATATGACAAAACTCTGTTTTTATTTAAAAAACAAGCTAGTATACAAGTAAGAGGAATTTATCACTCTCTCATTTCCAATATCAAAGTTTAAAAATCAATGGAGCCCAAATTTGAAAATGTGCAGAGAAGTTCACCATTAAATCACTTCACTTATTTTCTCTTTTCAAATATATATATATATTTTTAAAACAGCAGGATAAAAAAAGAAAATCATGCTCAAGAGAGGGCTGTTACCCTACTACATTTCTTCAATGATTGATTGTATTTTCTCCCAGGACTCAAAGAAAAGAAGAGAACATGAGGGTTGATTGCATCAAAAGTATGTCACAAATAAAGGAATCAAGAAATCACATATGTCTGCACAGAAGTCAACTAATAAATCAAAAGCATGTTCTTAGCTAAGTCAGATGTTTCTTTGAAACAGCACATGGTGCAATTCTAACATACTCTAGATTCAGCTACCTAACAGGCTGTTGCTTTCAACTAGTGAAAAATCTAGCAGGGCAAATGTTTATAAGGCTGGTAAAACATTTTAACTTTATTTTATGCCCTGATTAGCTATTACTGGTCTGATGATTACATTGTAAAAGCTAAAATCATAAATGGAGAAAATAACCTTTTGGCAAGAGTGAACCCTAATTGTTACAACGTCCTATATTATGTGTTCGTCATTTCTCTTTAGCAGTTATTTTGATGTAAAATTTAACAAGTTTTCTTTCATCCCATATCAAGTCTGTATTTTTCTTTAAATTGTGGATTTAAATTTCCACATCACTTTTTAGAGTTGAGAGTCATAAAATTAACATATGTCATAATCATTTTAATCAAATCCTCATGATAGTATCGTGTCCTAATCAGGGAACAATAAAAATTATAACCTTTAAAAATGTTAAGATGACTGTATCTTACAACAAAGAATAAGTCAATCTCATTATAGTGGAAGAAAACTAGTTCACATAGAGTTTTACACTTTCAATACTAAAAAGTCCCTGACTATGTGAAGGTTGCTGTGGGTGTGTGTAACTTTGTAGCAATGAAGAAACTTCTTAGACTATGATTAATTGACAGAGGTAGGAGGAATTGGCTCAGTTGATCATTATTCTATTTTTCAATGATATTTAATTGCTTTTATATTGTAATGTCAATGGTAGTCAATGTCAAATCTGAAAACTATATTCTACCCCCATTCATCCTTTGACCAAAAAAAAATGCAGCTATGTGTGTTTGTTGGTTACTGATACCAAGGAAGGACAGTCTTCCAGAGGAAATTATTGAGCACTGTATTTTATCAGATTTAAAAGGGAAGGAGGGTCAGTGGATATTAATGAAAAATTTGGGAATAGAAAACTAAGAGAGGAATCATTGGTGTAATTTTCTAACCAGTAATCAGCTAATTATTCTGAATGGAAACCAATCTTTCATCTTGAGTGACCAAATTCAGCAGCAATGAGAAGGAAGAATGGCCTCCTTCCTGTATGTAGAGCTACTTAAGTGCAATGAGAGGGCCCTGGAGTTGCTTTGCCAGAATTCTGAAATCCAGGGATTTTTTTGCCTATTTCTTCCTTTCATTAAATCTACTCATTATATTCCAAGGCTGCCAATTCTGTGTGTAGTGTCTATTCACAGCACTTAATATTTCATCAGAGCCTAGGGCTATCATTAGGAGCCAAACAAATAATGGAAAAGCTAGGCTACAAAGCCAAGTAGTCAACAGGGAGGGAATGGCTATATGGTACCAAAGTACAGTGGCTGTTTCAGTTGTGTGATTTTTTTCCCCATCTGGCTCCCAAATCAAATAACTGAAGAACATAAAAAGAGAAATGGCACTAGTGAAATGTTCCCTCTCTGATAGACACTTGGCACCTGCTGTCTTCATCATGCTTACACTGATCCAGGCCCAAGACCAATTCTGTTCATAGTTAAAAAATATTAATGAGGCTTGCAACAGTAACTTGCTGACTTAGTGTCAGGCCATCCCATATGAAAGACCTGGCCCCTTGCTTGTGCCCCAGTTGCAATAAGGGGTGTTGTAAATCCTTTGAACACAAATGTGACCTTTCCCAGTCTCCTGCTTAATTTCTCCATGACTTGTTCTCCCTGAATCTTACCCAATTCTACCTAATAACAGGCTTCTGGATCTCTCTGTCTCCTTTCCCGTTTGCTTGCTTATTCAGACTTCTAATCGCCTGCATGTGCTTCCCACTAATAATCATGCCCCACATTTAGCTGTTGGGATCTTCCTGCCATGTATTGCCTGATCACTTAGATTTGCTGTTAATCCCTGGACATACCACATGTGGAATCAGAATTACTCCCTTTTCCTACTTTGGCATCCATCTTCATTTGCCTCCTTTTTTCTTTCAGGTCAACCTGGCTGGTCTGATATGCCCTGTGTGCTGTGGTTCTTTGATTATGGGAAACAGGAAGAAATACATGGGCAGAGGGCCTAGAAACATGGCGGCAGTGAGAAATCTAAACTTCAGAGTTGTCTCTGCCTTGCTGCTTTCTTGGATAAATTTTTCCATCCTTTGTTCCTTTCGCACTGTATAGAGAAGGCTTTTGTGAAGTCTTGATTAATCTGAAACTACAGTGTGCGACAGCTCACAGGTAGTGATTTTGGCAGCTATTTTGAGTTTATCCACATGTCAGAAGCAGTAATTGCAAGCTTCTTTTCTTGTTAATTCCTGCAGTTGCCACTCTTCTTCCCCTGCTGTGAAATTTTGTCCCTCTCCAAAACAGAGCACATTTTTTTTTTTCCTGATGTGCAGAGCACACTCATTAATTTCTCACTTAGTGATGATTCATTAATCATGGAAGGGCATGTGAGCTGCAGTTAAAGCAACTCCTTTAATTTAATTTAACAAACATTTATTGAATGTTTAATGTGCAGAGCAAAGCGCTAAGCATGAGACCCGAAGAGACCCAGTTTGTAGGATATGTAAATTATCTCTTCATCAGGATAAGTATTTAATAAACTTATCTGAATGAAAATCGAATTAATATACATTATGGTGTTATGTTTAGATAAAAATTTAAGAATAAACTTTATTTATAAAGAAACATACTTGGATTGTTTCTATAGAGAATGAGTGTGTTTTATTTAAGTAACTTACCTACAGTTCATAGTCTTATGAAAACAGTGCCAAGTCAAAAACTAAATCCTTCAAAATATCACAGCTTATGCTCCCTCTTGTACACCATTTCTTTTCTTCTCTGTTAATTCCGTTGTGTAGGAGTAATACAGAGACAGAATCACGAAAATGGTTATAAAAGAAATGATCTTTGAGCAAAACTAGGGTACAGTGTGAAATAGTCATTTTATATAATTGAATTATAGAATCATGGAATGTTAGAATAGATAAGATCCAGTCATCAATTTTATTTCAATCATTTTACAGGTAAGGAGGCTCAGACCCAGGAAGAAGGAATGGTTTGCCCACGATTGCCCAACTAGTTGGAATCAGAAACCAGCTTTTGATCCAGGTCTAAAGTATTAATCATGACTCTCTGAATGGTGGGAACCAGAAAACAGACTAACTTGGAAAATTGTTGGTCATGCGTTTGAGAGGTGGGTGGATCGCAGTCATGGCTTGATCTAAGCGTCCCAGCTGTTTTAGTTTCATTCATTCTCCAACTCCAGAAGCAGCTTCTCTCTTTGGTGGATTCGGTTCCTCTGACTAGTGAAGATGTTCATAAGTAGCCATAGGATGAAGTGTTCCTGGCTTACTGACTTAAAGAAAACATGAAAAGAGAGTCATTTCTATTATTTGAACAGCACTCAGAATCCTGATTGCCTCTTCTTGGCTCATGTGGACACTACCATGACAGTCACCAACTCCCAAAACGTGGGGGATCGTGACTGGCCAGACATGGCTCACATATCCATTGTCTTTGGTCAGAGAAGCCCACCTGCTACCAAAATAAGGGCAATACTAGGGAAATAGTCTGGACAGACAAAAACAATGACTTCATAGCCCACTACATTACAAAAACAATCTTAAAGAATTTAAACTGGCTCATAATTAAAAGAAAACAGAATTGAAACCCAATTTTATATTTTTGGAATATTGAAGAAAGTTGGAGATATTGATTAGGATATTGTTTGCTCTATTAGAGTTTATTGCAAACAATGAATAATTGTTATCAGCATAGTTCACTCTCCTTTTTCCATAACCTTCCCTTTTTTCCATGGGAAGGTTCCCCCCGCCCCCACCATGATCTAAACCTATCCACTAATAATTAGCAACCCCTACCTTTACATTCTCTCTTTCTCTCTCTTATTTTTAACTGTAAAACTCCAGGTAGACATCAGAGAAAATTCTTATGAAAAAAGCATTTAGGAATTCTTGTTCATATTTTTTGCTCATAATATGTTCATAATTGTTCAATATTGCTCATAAATTATTGTTCATAATATTGTTCATATTATTTTGATTCTTTGATACCTCTTATGCCTATTACATTGTAATGAATACTAATGAGTTAACGAAGGGTGAATAATTTAATTAGGACATTGCTACATGCAGAGAAAGTGCTATAAGGTTTTGTTTTTAGATAAATTAAAGCTTTTTGAAAGTTTACCCCTCTGAATATAATTATTTCTGTCCCTGTGCATTATCAAATTCATTCACTGTAATTCAGTGTGCTAAGACTCATACAACACACATATTCATTCAACACTCAGAAAGTTCTTTCTAGAATGAATTAGCTAATAAGTGACTATTTATAAACACAAGCACACACATTTATAAACCACCTGACCTCAAGGCAAAGGGGATTAACAACACTCAACCACTTCTAGACTTTACTGATCTGTAATTCCACCGCTGTGAAGTAGATGTTATTCCTATTTAAATGATTATGTAATTAGACTAGTATAATATTAAGAGTAGCAGTTTTGTCAGATCCTGTGGGTTTTAGTTCCAGCTTTGCTTCTTACAGTTTACTTGCCTTTGCTAAGTCTTAGTTTCCTCACTGGAAAAATAGTGAGAAAAAATAGGATCTAAACAAGCTTGGCAAATAACACTTGGGTTTGTCTCATTCAAGATTTTTTGAGGAAAATAAAGTTAGTAAATGATTCCTGTGTTAAAAATCAAGTGAAACATAGATACATTATGGCTTCCCAGTCCTCTTTTACCCCAGTTCCTCCCATTAAGTTGGATGTTGTAGCCAGATTTAGACTTTCAATTCCTTGAGTTCTTTATTTCTAGTTATTTTCCCTCTTATTTCATCATGGTCATCCCACACCACAGAAATTCTCTGAGCCTGGGCAAATTTTGAATTCCTCTACCGCTGAAAGGCTACCTAATAATATTTCATTGTCACTGCCATCTCTTACTTTCCTAACACACATTGAGAACTCCGGGTCTAGAAATCACTTCTCTCTCCCTATTAGCTTCCTTGCCTACTGCCAATGCTTTAGGCTTATTTTCTCTGAGAGTAGACACTGTCAATATACCCACTTCTCTTTTCCTATTATCTGTTAGTCTCTGTGACCTTCAGTCTTTCTCCATCTCCCCAAACTCTATAGTCCAGCAGAACTAAAAGGACTGGAAGTTCCCTAAATGTGTCCTGCTGTTACTAGTTTTTGTTCCTTTGCTCGTACCACTCTCTACTTGAAATACCTGTCATACAAAGATACATTTAATTTTAAAGTCTTTCTGGGAAAAAAATCTCTGTAAAGATTTTCGTGATCACCCATCCTAGGTTAAATCTATTACTCACCCATTTGGTGCCCCACAGTGTTCTGTATCCATACAGGAAGACACATGTTCTACTCATTTACACTTTTGATTTTTATATCCACCTTCCATGGCTGCTTAATTTCTGTATGCTCAGCATTGGTGTAGTGCCTCACATGTAGTACACTATTAATAACTATTTATTGGATGAATTTATTAAATGAATTAAGCAAGGGGAAATACTGTCTCCCTGGAAAAATTAAAGCTTTTATTTTTCTAGTATTAAGGCACATACAACTCTCCCTGCCTTTCTCTGCAGCTTTTAAGAAGTACAGAGTCAAGTGTGTGAACAAAAATTATTAGCTATGTTAACCCTCATTTTTGGTGTATTTGAATACTTTCTTTTACTTTATGTAGAGTTTCACATGAGTAACTTCAGATTATGTGATTTAAAAAAGTAATGTATGTGTGTGTGTGCCTCTGTGTGTAGAAAGGTGGATAGATAAATAATTTCAACAAGTTATATTTCAGAAAATAACTGTATTTTTCTTGACATATTTTGAGACTTATATGTGTACCAGATTAACAGAGTTTTTCAACTTGCTGTAAAATAAATAAGATGAATGTTTTGCATGAAGAAAATCATATTCCAGCACCAAGAGTAAATCTCCCCTTTTTGAAATTTATAATCAATGCACAGAAATGTGAATATCTTGAATAAATATTCCATTTAAATCTGTAAATTTCAAATAGTTTCCTTGACACAAACATTATCTACGGCTCCTGAAAACATCTAGCCAAATGTTAAGATCAAATCCATAAATGGTATTGTGCTGAAGCCTAAAGTTTGTGATCTAGATTTCTGAGAAATATAGGGGAAACCATTGAGATATGCAAATTCATTATCGTATAAAAGAAGAATAACTAGGAAAGCATGTGCCAAAACACTCAAAAAAGTCCTCAGGTTTGGTAAACTGGTTTTCACACCAAAAATATTTAGTTAATTATGTCAAATATTGGAATGCATAATCTAACATTGTAGTTAAGATATGTATTCCCAAGTGGTGCTAGGGGTAAAGAACCCACTTGCCATGCAGAAGAGGTTAGAGACATGGGTTCCATCCCTGAGTTAGGAAGATCCCCGGAACAGGAAATGGCAATCCACCCCAGTATTCTTGCCTGGAGAATCCCACGAACAGAGGAGCCTGGAGGGCTGCAGTCTATAGGGTCTCCAAAGAGTCAGACATGACTGAAGCAGCTTAGCATGCACATCACTGTACTAGAATTTGCAGTCACTATCTTAAACTAATAAAATATGTGTACATGTAATTTGGGAGGAACTTTTGGAATGACTGAGTTCATAATTTATTATACAATTCATTTATCAAACAGCATAATTTATAATTATTGATATTGACATTGTCGTGTTTTGCATAATTACAGAGGTATGCTGGTATATGTTTAATAACTATTCTCTGAGGAAACAAAGTCCTGATTTGCAATGTTTGCCAATTTCCATGGTATAAATTCTCCTACTACAGCCAACTTAAAGCCACCAACGTGAGGTCACCTAACACAGTGTTAGGAAGAAGAGCACACAGTTGACTCTCCTGAGGCGTACAAGCCAGCTCCAGCACACCAGTGCCAAACTCTTTTGTAGGTTTCTAGTAGAAGCTCACTGTTTCTATGTAGATACATGTTTAATTAAATGATAAAGGAAGCCATACCAATGAGGCAGATACTTGGAAGAGCTGTCCTTCAAACTATTAAAGGCAAGAGAGTTCAAGTTGTGGTTTTTTTTTTTTTTTTCAAATTAAGCTTGGGGTGATAATTTTCTAAGAATTGTATTGAAAATTTCAAATGCAAGAAGGCTTTACCCATCCATTCTGTTGTCTGGGAGGCTTGAATGTTGCTCTCAAATTGGGCCCAGAGTCTGTTGTTGATAGGTCTCAGAAAATGAGGAAATATCAACTTCCAAGCATGTTCTGTTTGAATGTTACATCTATAATTGATGATGTATTCACACATTGGCATTCGCTTTTCTTTCCTCAGTTTTTGAAATTTTTCCAGATGCCATTATGTGTTAGTTGTTAAAGATTAGGTCTCTAAAGTGTGTTTGCATAGAAAGGATATAAAATCTCTTTATTTGTAAGTTGGAAACAACATAATATCATGGAGGAAAATAAGTTAGATTTTTATGATCACTGTCTGAGTGAGTGAGTGAAAGTCACTCAGTCTTGTCCAACTCTTTGCAACCCCATGGACTATTGCCCACCATGCTCTTCTGTCCATGAGATTCTCCAGGCCAGAATACTGGAGTGTTGCCTTTCCCTTCTCCAGGTGATCTTCCCACCCAGGGATCAAACCCAGGTCTCCTGCATTTCAGGCAGTTTCTTTATCAGCTGAGCTACAAGGGAAGCCCATAGTCATTCTCTATTGTGTAGAAAATACCTCCTGCTTAAATAAGTGATATTTTAGGTAATATAAGTAAAAACTCTACACTAGTTACTTAAAACTTATTCAAATGTTTGTTTTTAATATTCAAATTGTTGCAGCTTTATCTCTTACATATACTTAGTGTCTTTGGGATTTTTAAGAGTGAGGTACCGGCCAAAGTATGAGTGTGAAAAATGTCTGAATCAAATAAAACCAAATGTCTTTCTAAGCCATTGAAGTTCATATAGTTTTAATGTATTTTTATGAGTTTTCTAGAAAAGATTGTCTTCCAGAACACTCTAGTTTCATCAATATTGAAAATATTTCTGAAATAATAACCTTGCCCTGCAGATTTCTTCAGATCTCTTGCCCAAATTGTGTACTAGAGCACACAAGTCCCATGGGATGGTCCTTGAAAAAAAAAAAAGGAAATTTTTACAGTCAAGTATGAGAATGGTTATATTCACTGACTCCCTTTAAAGTCAAGATATACATAAGAATATTAAGGACTCTCAGAAGTGCTGCAGAGAAAGATATCATATTTACCCTAAATCATCTCCCGATTATATTGATCCTAGACTCTCTTTTTATGTTATCTCGAAACAGGGGGGAAGGGAGAATGGGACAGTCTTTAAAAGAATGATATAGCCATAGGATATTGACGAAAACTGGTTAGAATCAAATAGGTCCAAGATGGTGGAATATTCAACTTCCAGTGAACCTTGAGATGCATCATACAGTTCATTGTAATACATAAGCTGAGTGACACACCCCCCAGTGCCATGACAATTCTGAAGCTGACCATCAAAGAGCAAAAAGTGGGCCATGACCCAATTCAGGGAAACCTCTGCCCCATCCCCCAAATAATCGGAATAATCCTCCCACTCATTAGCCAGTGAAATTACCTAGTCCATAGAACCTAACTCCATGGTATCTTGAAGCCTCACCTTCTCTCTCTTCCTCTCTCTCTCATCTTCTGAGATGGCCAATACTCTTGTCTGTGGAATGTGTTTCTTTCCAAATAAATCCATTTCTTGCTATCACTTCATCTCTGAATTCTTTTGCAGTGAAGTGGGAACTTTAAATTCACCAGCAACAATCCTATTAACATCCATGAAACATACTTTTGGCAATATCTTCTTTACAAAATCTTTTTGAAAAATATTGAATTTATACTTTTTTATCAATATTATGCAACACACAGGTAACTTCAGAAACAAGTTTCTCAATTTTCTAGAAATTGGAAATAACAAAAATTGACTCAAGAGACATAGATACACTAAACCAAACAATGATCATGGAAGGAATTCATTATGTTGTTAAATCAGGGCCTGGCCTGTAAAAATACCAAAGAATTTCATGGATGAATGTTTTCAAACCTTCAAAGAACAGGTAATTCCTATGCAATTTAAATTGTTTCAGGCATAGAAAATAAAGCATTCCAATTCATTAAAAAAAATAAAAAGCCCAAACTACTATGACACTGACTCCAAAATCTGAGAAAAACACCACAAAAAAGAAAGTGATAAGCCATCATATTTATGAATATTAATGAAAAACAATAAATAAAATCCAGCACTACATTAAAACAGCAATATGCCGTGACCAAGTGGGGATTATTTCAGGAATGCAAGATTGTTTAACAATATGAAATCTTCTAGTAAATTGACTACACGTCAAAGAAGAAAAATCTTTCATAAACCAGTAGGAGAATAATACTTCTTTAAATAAAATGATATGCATATCTCAAGCCAGTTTCTAGAATTGTTCTTGGTGATGAAACACTTCACGCTTCTTCCCTGAAGTCAGAAATAAGTCAAGTGTCTGCTGCTTTCCCATTATTATTCACTAATTATCTGGAAATGTTCTAGACAATGAAATTAGACATACGGGTGAAATAATGATGATAAACATTGGAAGAGAAGGGTCAAGATTGTCATTACTTACAGATAATATGATTTTATACATTTGAAAAACTCAAGAGAATCAATAGGAAAAAGTACTATTAGAATGAATAGAAGAATCCAATAATGTGGTCACAAAATATTAATATATAGAATGGGTTTGATACAACCATAAGGAAGAAAATGATACTGGGAATATATTCCAGTTATAACTATAAATAATAAAAAAAGTAATAACAAGCCAAACACCTCAGAATAAGTATAACAAGGAATATATAGATGCTAAATGAAGAATGATATTTGAATAAATGGACACATATACCCTTGATAACAATATGCAATATTAAGCTATGAAATAGTTATTCTAATTAATGTATATATCCATTGTAATTCTAATTAAAATTCCAACAGAATAATTCTGAAGTTCACTTAGAATAATAAATATGTAAGAATAGGCAATATCTTTTTGTATTATTCAAGCTTCTATAATAAATAATATGAATGGGAAATAACATTAGTCAAACAGCAGAATATTCCTAAGATCTCACTGACTTAATGGAATAGAAATTTATATGTCATTTAAGTCAGTCAGCAGGAGTTTGCCTTGTTGGAGATATCTCTTTGTTATTGTTCAGGGGTCCAAGCTTCTGTTATCTTGTGGCTCCACCTTTGTTCAAGTCTTTTGGGTTCTACCTCTTAAGAGTTGCTTCTTGATGTTTTTCCCCATAAATGTGCATTTCTTCCTGGCCAGATCTCAGACACATACTCTTAAGTGTTTGTGGAGCTAAGAAATGAAATCTAGTTGTGTATACCTAAAGATAATAGAATGTATTTTGAATGAGACAGAGAAATCTGACAACACTTTTATAATCAGAAACCAAAAAGCAGATTCTAAAATACATAATGTGCATTACTGTGTCTGTCTTAAAGAAAGAGTGACGATCCAAGTAACTAAGGCTATCAAGTAACTAAAGGTATGCTTTTTAAAATAGAGATTTTCCTTCTTAGATTGAATAATACTATCATTTTTAAAAATTTTATTCATTTATTTATTGCTGCCTGGGCTCTTCTCTAGCTGCAGTGAGCAGGGGCTTTCTACGTGTGGTGCATGGGCCTCCCATTGTGGTGGCTTCTGCTTTGCAGATCACAGGCTCTTGGGCACACAGGCTTTGGTAGGTGCGGCACTTGGCTCAGTAGCTGCAGCTCTTGGGCTCTAGGGCACAGGCTCAGTAGTTGTGGAGCACAGGCTTAATTGTTGCAGGGTATGTGGGAGTCTCCTGAATCCAGAATCAAACCGTGTCTCCTGCATTGGCAGGCTCTTTGTCACTGAGCCACCAGGG